ATATAATAATGGATATATTCTTGATTTGAAAAATTAATTTATTACAACAACGGATACCGTTATTTGCCCTTTCTATAATTTGCTAAATTTATTTATTTTAACATTGACTTTATTACCCAATAAAACAGACAGGAATATATACTTACTAGCTTAAAAATTATAATATGTTATTTCTCAACTTAATTTAATTATAACTAAGAATAACAAACACTCTCAATATAATTTGATAGTTTTTCCCAACGAGTAATTAATGTAGAATTATGAAATGAAAAAACAATAAGAGCATAAATTTAAAATCAATAAAATTTGGCAAATTAATTAACTAACCTTGTGCACGATAAACCCATTCTAAAATTGTGAGCGATTAATTATGAGCAGAATCACATTGCAGCAAGCGGTTACGAGATCGATTTGTATAATGTTTAAGAAACATATGGCCTAGTAATATACGAAACCTGATTAATTAATAAAGCACTTGTTGAAAGTATTTGTAAAGAGATAGGAAAAACTGGCGCAAACTTGACGAAATGACAAAATGGTTTAGTTTGATATCGAACAAAGGCTTTAATTAGGGTCAAATCAACAAATTACAAATTTCATCGATTAACACCATAGATATTTACAAAGCAGAGGCAAAATCCAGTCTAAAAAAGAAACACAAAAAAATTGGAAAATGTAAATTACAAATCGACGAAAATTCACGAGATGAAATCTCACTTTCTTGCGGTGGCCAAGCGGCGACCGGCTCACCATGCGGTAGTTGCCGATCAATCTGAGCTGCCAATAAGCCAATATTGTTGTAAATATGTGAGGGAACTCAGCCAGGCATGAAGCGAGCAATCAGCAATATTTTTTTCTTTTTTCACTACGCTTTCGGCCGCTGCGCGTCTGGTGTTTGTCGTCGCCTCAACCGCCGCCGAAATTCGATTTTTACAAATCACTTTAACTAAATTACATATTGACGTGCTAAGTTAAGTGTATGCATACATACATACAGGCACACAAGCAAAGTTGGGCTGACAGAGTTGCAAGTGAAAGTGAATTTTTGAGCAACCAAAAGTCGCTGACCAAATGTGGCCGCGGCGGCAACACAGCGACAACGCTTGCCGAACAGGCGTTTTATTGGTGACTGCATAGTTGTATGTGTGCTAGTAGTGGTGACTACTTTAGTGCGTCGCGCTACCAAAGCTGGCTGGAATTGCAATTATGCGACCAAAAATGATTTTGATTGCGAAAAAATGTTTTGGTGGTGAACAGCAAACCTTTGGTAAACGAATAATTTGAGAAGCAAAATTAATCTTAAATTAAGGGTACCTTAAAAAATCATAAGCGAATGTAATTGCTACACATTGTGGCTATAAGTTTGATTTTTCAATTAGGAAAAAAATTTAAGTTATTTATTTATAAAAAAAAAATATATAACAATTTGAGTTTGGTTGCTTTATTAACTAGAAGTAACAGTATTTCAAATCTTCATCAAATTTATTTGTCTTATTAAATTATATAACAGCTCTAGAATATTGGCCTAAATTCTCGAGATGCCAGTAATAGTTTTGAAAACTTTAAACGCGTTATTCTCGAAACTGAGTTTTCAAAGTGGGTTGTCAGAATTCTCAACTGATCTTAATGAAATTTTATACAGGTCTTCAAGATATATATCCTTTACAAGGTTTTGAATTCAATTACAATTATCTTCTTTCAATTACAATTATTTCAAACAAAAAATGTCCAGAAAGTTTCACCAAAATTTGCATGTTTTAGAAAAAATACAATTTTCACTTTATTTGTCTTTTCTCCGTCCAATACCTAGTTAATGGTCTTTGTTCAAACACGTATTCTTTTTTTGTTACTTTCATTGATCTTGTCAGAAGTTCTGCTGTCAACGCGGAAGCACTTTTTTCCGAGGCACTGCCGGAAATGACGCCGAGTCGGATGACCGAGTTTTGAATATTTTCCTTTGAAGTTTTCACAAAATCTTTATCAAATATATATCTTTGGATTATTAATAGTTAGAGTAAAATATTTCATATTTTATATGAAAAAAAAATTATTGAAAATTAGGCGTAAGTGGAATCCACAATATTACGGCTTTGTCAAGCAAATTTTGCCAAATTTTTTTTTGTGTTTCTTGGATGACGAAGCAAATATTGAATATTGAATTTATTTTAGAAATTTCGTCAAAATATCATATAAAAATGTAGAAATTATCTTAAAAGAATGTCTAAGAACACTTGCTGTATGAAAGCAATTCTTTGTCCCCCTTAACTTTTATTTAAATCTCGCTTGCATAAAAAATATATTTTATTTTCGAAAGAAATATCTACACATACTTAAGCACAGTTCACAAGAAATCTCTTATGTAACCCTCCCTTTAGCATTTGCAGACTAGTTTTAAATTTTACTATTTTGGCCTTCCTCTTTACTACAAGTAAGAACCATATGATATTTTATTGTTCTGTTGGGATTATGATATATACTCTCCAAAGCCGTTATCCGAAGCACTTGAAATATTTTCGTTTTAGTAAATTTTTAAAACACAAAATTGATTTGTTTGCGGTTTCGCTTTCAATATCGGCATTAGTCACTGTTCGAGTTCGTTTCAATTTTTCAACTCCACAACAACAAAATTGGCGTATACTCTGCAAATCAACTGCGAGGCGAATTCTGACAACAACAAAATTTAGATAAATTTATGTACAACTTACCAGCCACAAGCAGCTCCAACAGCAAGCGAGACCAAATTATTTAAATTACATAATTACTTTGTACAGTTATGGGCGTTCCGGCTGTGTCTCTGAGCTGTTTCTCAGCCACCGCTTACTTAACTTTTTTCAAAATTTTTTTTGTTGCTGTGGGAAAATGTTTGTTTTTCCACACACGGTCTCTCGGCTGCAAAGAATTTATGCAATCAATTGCACGCACACACACACACATATATATATATACTCGCGCATAACTGTCCGACCGCGGTGGCCATTTTATGATTTTTACGCATGTCTCCAAATTTACCGCCATGCGCTTTTGATGAGACCATCCAGTGGCGGCCAGCAAAGATTTTTTGTTTTTATGAATCAAGTTTGTTGCTTAAGTCTTTTGTACGCAGACGCATTCGCCACAGTTAACTGTCGATAAAAGTAAATTTTATTAATTTTATGTTCACCATATATTTTTCGCCGAGTTTACTTTATGGCCGCTGCTAGTGTAATGGTATGCCATAAATTCCACCATGACGCAATGTTGCACGCACACACACAAAACATACGTATACAGTGTATCCGTTGTATGAGGCAGGCGAATTGGCCGCCTAACATTTGCTTTGTACTTTTAAGTCAAGCCATTTCAAATGTCGATTCTCAGTGCTGTTGACATTTTTCGCATATTTTCCAGTGCTACAGTGTTTGTTGTTGTTTTTCAAGCGCTTAAAGCGACATGTTGCTGTCACACATTGTTTATGGCCAACACAAAACTCATATTTACTTTTGATCAGCGCATTTTCGTTGTGAATTTCATGTCCATTGTGCCAGCCGCGCTTGCTTATGTAATTGCCCGCTTAGCCGCTTTGCTATTGTTGTATTTTCAAATGCGAAAAATTCTCGGCGCCCTGCTCGCTTTGCCGGCAACCGGTTCCTCGCGCTGCGATCGTGATTTGCTGTCTTAAGGAGAACCACTTTGCTCCGTGAATTTTTGTTGTTTTCGCAACAAGTGGAGCTATTAAATAATGCTGCGACTGCCAAGGTGTTGTTAGACTTCAATAGCATTGTTGTTATTGTGGTTATTATGTTTAATAGTACAGTGAAGCGAAGGCGCGCGCAGATTTCCTAACAAATCAAAGCATAAATGCATATCGCTTATATTTTCTGAACTGCCACAGCATCAGCAGCACACCCCTATACGTGGACTCAATACAGACGCCTCGTTGCCGCATCTAACTTCCCGTTTAACTGCTTCGAAACTCGCCACTTTCACTGCCAACCAGCGAACTGTAATTGATCAGCGCAGGCACTGACAAATTCGCATGTCTGTTGGCACGTGACAGCCATTCTAACAGCACCGAGTTCAATTTCCAATAACCAAAGACCAAAAAAAAAAACATATACAAAATAAATGAGGAAAAAATCCCTTCGTCATCGCCCGCCAAAGTGCTCTGCGTTGCACTACAAGTGTTGTTGTTATTGTTTCACCATTGCCATTTTCCATACTCTATTAGCTTAGCCGCTAGCTAATTTGCTCCGCCACCGACTGAACCAATTCCAGTGCCGCCGTGTACGTGCGTTTGTGTGTGTGTGTGTATGTGTGGCGCATTAGTTGCGCCATTATGTCTCTTTGAATGCGAATTCGATTCGAATGCTTCGGTTTGCCTGCTTTGCTCGCCTTGAGCGCTAATATGATAATATGAGTGATTTGCCATAGTTGTTTATTTTTCAATATTTAATTTTTAATTGGAAATGACCAATAAGCTTGGCATTTTGCGCCGACTCCATGCTTATTGATCAAAACGAGTTCCGAGCGGAATTGTCATTATTGCAATTATTTTTGATAAATGATCGCAAGAATTTGTTACGCAATAAGTTCATGGTTTAAAAATTTTGCATGCTTAATGAAATTCAAAAATTCAGATATTTAAATTTTTTAAAATAGTTCATTGCGCATTATTACATTGCTTTGAAATTATTTTTTTCTTAAGCAGACAAATAACACAAGTAAAAGAGTAAATAGAAAGAAAATGTAAATTTTTAAAATCCTCGAGAGATTATTGAAAATTTGAAAATGCTTGGAAAGTAAATGTTTAGCTAAATCCTGTTATTTATTTTGTATTCTAGTTTTCAGGGTTTTAACCAAATTTATTTATTTTTTTATTAATTTTTGCTATAAACAGCTATTATATATATTTGGAAAGTAACGAATTTCAGCGATATACCAATATAATCAAAGACTAAAATATCTCAAAATAAATTTTTGAATTTGTATAATTGCTAATATTGCTTTCAAATTACTTACAGTCGTTTGGCGTATTCAACGCTAGTTATCAGCCACATACGTAAGCACTACGGACCAGAATTCCAACGGAAACAGCTTAGATGTGTAATTAAAATTGGCTAAACGAGCGAGAGCCAACAAAAACAAACACACATATGCACAGCAGCAAAATGGACGACATGAATGCCGATGGCAGCAATTTCAATAACGTCGACAACAACACAAGCATGAACATGAATATGAACAATAACAACAGCGACGATATGGTACGCCAATCCGAATCACCAGCACGCACAATCGATTCGCACGATTCCACTGTCGACAGCATGGACACGATCGTGGATCGCAGCGTCAATCGCGAGGAACTCATGCACGCCACCATTGAGCACAGCTTGAACACGACAAATGCACAGCATGATAGCCTCACCAACTCACAGAAATCCATATTGCAGCGCAACAGCAGCGGTTGCAGTGACACCGACGAGCACCAACAGCAACAGCTGAGCCAACAAAAGCAACTGCAAGTGCAGCAATTACAAACAGACACACAAAGTCACATTTACTCAAGTCCTGTGTACGATCAGAAGCCACCGCTGAAGTTGACGGCAGCCACATTGATCGCCTCGGTGGCAGCCAATAACGCTGGCAATGGCAAAACCGTCGCTGGCGACGACGCAAAGAAGCCGAAATTGATGACACACGAGGAATTCCAACAACAGTTGCAGGCGGCAATTGCCACGCGCGCCAACACACTCGAATCGCGTATTAGCAAGAAGCAACGCTTTCCACCGGAATTGATTAAAATCAAAGATGGCGACGGCAGCTCATCGAATTCGGCAAAATCGGCGAAATTTCAAAGACGTGCCAAATCCAGCGCCGACTGCTGTTCGGCCTTCCCATGGCAAATTGTTTTGGGCACATTGCAGCTAATGTTGGCCATTACGTTGGTGGCGCTCGGTTCGTTGTTGATTGTGCGCGAAGCAGCGCTGTCCACGGCCGGTTGTGGTATTTGGACTGGCCTTGTGGCGGCCATTACTGGTTCGCTGGGTGTAGTTAGCATACGGAAGACACAAACAGCGTTTCTGGCGTTGAGTTTAATTTGCATTGCAACCAGTACACTGGCGTTGGCTGTCTCCGGCGTCGGGCTCTCTAGGGATGTCAATCGAATGGAGGAAAAGGTAAGCAGTAATTAGCGCTAACAACACCGAAATATTGTATAACTAAAATATGCCTTCCTTCCTTAGTTTGACCTGTTGAATACGAATAGTGAAATATCGGCTGCTTCCGGTCTAATATTGGCATTATTTTTACACTTTGTTGTTAGTATTATATCTGTGTACAGATGTGCGCTGCAGATATGCTCCAGGTACGTAAATACTATTAGAATTATTATAAATGCACTTGAGTCGACAAAATAGGTAAATTTAATTTTGTGAAACCAATTTTCGACATCCGGTTGCTGACTAGTATTTAGAAAAATATTTGACAACTGCCTTCAAGAGAATCTATTACAATATTTGCAAGAGATGCCAGATATTATTTTTATACAGAGTAAAACAAGTTAACTTCATTATATATATATATAACACTGGAAAGCCAGTTATTTTTGTTACCTTTGACATATTGCATTCCGACTTCAAGCAAAGAATGTCTACTATATATATCGTATGATTCACGCTTGCAATACTAATTATCTGATTGTATCCAAGCTCTTATACCTCAAGCGCTCAATAATTCCTCAATTTAAAGCTCGTTTAGTGCGTATGGCAGCACTTCGCTTAGCAAACTGTCAAACGCTGACGAACCAGTGCGAATTCGACAATAAGCTAGCAGCAACAGCAGTGAAGTGAAAAAAATTATTTAATACATGCAATTTAGCAAAAGTTCATGCACAAATTTGTAAAATGAATGTCTAAAGTTTTATAGTAGTGCGTAAGCGTCGCGTCGGTATGTCTAGTATGTGTTTGAATGTTTTAACTACGTGTGCAACAACAAAATATTTGTGTACAAATAAACAAAACGACCTGTGAAAATATCGCCCACGCCTTCCTTCCGCTAACCACAGTCACAATTCACCGTCGCACTGACAGTAGCAGCCACAAGCGCAGTGAAAGCAGTTGAAAATATTGAAAGTTACAAATATTGCAGCACATTTTAATTGGATCACGGCGACGTTAAAAACACCCACATCTTCGGAGGTCATCAGCGTCACCGGCGCAATGCCACTGGCCGATTTGAATAAAGATTTGCGCCAACAGCATCAGCTAGGCGTTGGTATTGCTTTGGGAAATAATGCCCACCTGGACAATGCCAATGGCGCCTTGGGCCAGCAGCAGCTGCGTCAGCGTATGCAGATCACCTCGTCGGGTTGTAGTAGTCTGGCCGTGACACCGATGGAGCACACACCTACTGATGAAGAAAGTGGTGGTGTGACCACCGTGACGTCATCCCAGCGCAGGCAGCAGGCACAGCAACAGCAACAACATTTGCAACAGGTGCAGCAAACGGCATTACAGGCTGCATTAGAACAACATCACATCAGCTCCGTTACGGCGGACACGACCGAACTGATGGATTTAAGTGATTCAGAAGGTTATGCGCCAGCTGCGGGTGATGGGGAGTTGCGCGAAAATGAGTTCGAGCTACGCGAAGTTGTAAAGGAAGGTCATGACAAAGCCGACCCATCTCAATTCGAATTGTTGCGTGTGCTGGGCGAAGGCAGCTTCGGTAAAGTGTTTTTAGTACGCAAGGTTATTGGCAAGGATGCAGGTACGCTATACGCGATGAAAGTTCTGAAAAAAGCCACACTGAAAGTCAAGGACCGTGTGCGTAGTACAAACGAGCGTAAAATTCTAGCCGACGTCGGACATGCGTTTATCGTGAAACTGCACTATGCCTTCCAAACACCCGGTAAATTGTATTTAATATTGGATTTTTTGCGCGGCGGTGATCTATTCACAAGATTATCAAAAGAGGTAATGTTCACAGAGGAAGATGTCAAATTTTATTTAGCTGAATTGGCTTTGGCACTAAATCACCTGCACACATTAGGAATAATTTACCGCGATTTGAAACCGGAAAATATTTTGTTGGACGAAAACGGCCATATAGCGCTTACTGATTTTGGTCTGTCCAAGCAACCGTTAGATGGTTCCAAAACGTATAGTTTTTGTGGTACCGTCGAATACATGGCACCGGAAATAGTGAATCGCAAGGGACATGATTTTGCAGCCGATTGGTGGTCATTTGGTGTATTGATGTATGAAATGTTGACGGGAAATTTGCCATTCCATGGACAAACGCGTCAAGAAACAATGAATCAAATATTACGCTCGAAATTAGGAATGCCCGAAAACTTGTCGCCCGAGGCGCAATCGCTTTTGCGTGCACTATTTAAACGTAATCCCCAAAATCGCCTAGGTGCTGGAGAAAACGGAATACTAGATATTAAAGCACATTGTTTCTTTGCAACAATTGACTGGGTGAGGCTGGTGCGGAAAGAAGTACGACCACCATTTATACCGGCAGTGTCGCGAGATGATGCTTTTTATTTCGATATCGAGTACACTTCGAAGCCGCCACACGACTCGCCCGGTGGTCCAATTTCTGCGTCGGCACATGAAATCTTTCGTGGCTTTAGTTTTGTGGCGCCAGTGCTACTGGATCAATCTTCAAACAATTCCAGCCCACTGTCGCCTTACGTGCCCCACGCACACACACCGCAGCGTACTCTGCCCGGTGTGCTGCCTGGCAACTTTCATTCTGAATACAATTTGTTGCAAGAATTGGGTCGCGGCACATTTTCCGTATGCCGTTTGTGTGAGCATCGCTCAACCAAAAAACACTTTGCTGTAAAAATTATTGAAAAGGCAGCGGCAGCAGCGTCGTCAACATCTGCCGATTGTTGGGAAGAGGTTGAAATAATGCTGCGATACGGTAATCACCCAAACATTGTTACACTATTCTCAGTGTATGAGGACGTAACGTCTGCGTATTTAGTTATGGAGTTGCTGAAAGGAGGGGAGCTACTCGATCGCATACTAGCAGTGGGACAAATGTGCGAAAGTGAAGCTAGTGCGGTGCTAAGGACGGTTGTGTCAGCTGTGGCCTACCTGCACGAGCATGGTGTTGTGCATCGTGATCTAAAACCATCGAATATGATTTATGCCAGCATGCGACAAACGCCCGAGACTCTAAAACTTTGTGACCTGGGTAAGTACTGAAATAAATAGCAAATATTGCCAGTAAAACAAATTCACCATATTGTGCCTTGTGTTATTGATAACTCCAAACTAATTATATGCAGGATTTGCGAAGCAGCTGCGTGCCGACAACGGTCTGCTGATGACACCGTGCTACACAGCCAACTTTGTAGCGCCAGAAGTGCTGAAACGTCAAGGTTATGACCTGGCCTGCGATATCTGGTCATTAGGAGTGCTGCTCTACATAATGCTCTCTGGCCGCACACCGTTCGCCTCAACGCCAAACGACTCACCTGATGTGATATTAAAGCGGATAGGTTCCGGACATGTGGATTTCACTTCCAGTCGTTGGGCGATGACCGGCCACGAAGTGAAAGATCTGCTGCGTCAGATGCTACACATTGTGCCAGAGAATAGACCGACAGCAGCACAAATTTTGCAGCAACCGTGGCTGCGCGAACAGTTAGCGGGTTCAGTGCGCCTCACAGAGTACGCGATAATACCCACGCAAATGTCAGCCACGAGCGTTAATACCACAGGTGAAGGAGGCGTGGGCGTGGGACAACCCAACGCCAATTCGGTGCGCGAAGCAACAGCGGCATTGCGCGGCGCAGTCGATGCGACTTTTCGCGCAATTGCAATACCCCAAGCGGCAAATGTGGGACCAGTAGAATTGTCGAAATTGGCGAAACGACGTGCCAAAGACCGAGCCAACTTGCACTCGTAAATTTTTTTGGCGAAATTTTAATGAATCATATGCTAGGGGGGGGGCTAGCAGTGGGCCAGATAAAAGCCATTTAGTGTGCTAAATGGAAATTTGTTTACCATAAAAGCAGCGTCGGTGCGTGTGTGGAGAAGCAAATTGCCATTATTATACTGTGGCTCACATTGTTAGCGTATTTATTAATAAAACATATGTCTAGTGGTGAGGTGAAGGCGGGGAGTAATTATATTTTTAGGCGTTTTGTCAGCTTCCTACGCACGACTTCCAGCTGCACATACACACGACCCGCCCCACCCAAGGGGGTTGAAGCCAGCTGGCGTGCGTTCGTTTGCCTATGCGCGTTTTTAAGAGCGACGAGATTTTGCGAACAAACTAATTATTTATTTTATAAAATAATAAGTGTTGTTTGTATGCGATTAAATTTTACATACATTTGTAAATTATAGACAAGATAAACATAAGTATAAGAAGGGTATATTTTTTGCATAACTACTTACTCAAAAATAATGGCCAAAGTTATAATGCTTATCACAACTAACAAACAAAAATAATAATATTACAATGTGAACATTGTACATACATATACATGTACACGCAGCAAAAGTTGCAACATATTCTAAATAAGTATTTTCTAAATCGATTCAACCACGTTTAGTGTTCGTAGCAGCGATAAATAGATTCAGACAACTTCCCCAAATCCAATTCCAAATAACTTTCTCATGCCATTGCCAAATTGTTGACGTGTGCAACTGGAGCGCTCTGCGTTTAAAATCAAAATTTCGCACGAATTTTACTGAGTAATAAATGACCGAACTACATTATGTATATTATGTATTAAATTATTGAATATGGTAAAATCGTAGTGAAATTGAAATGTGAAAACAATACGAGATTGTGATTTGCCTTTGAGTATAAGTATAAAAACACACATAACACACAAACCTACATATAAGTGAGGTGAGCTTAAACGCTCAACAATTAATTTGTAAAGACGCAAGTTATGTGAACATATGGAAAGTGATACTCGTTTTGTATATTAAAAATCCAATTTGAAGTACTTGCTGTTGGGAGAATTCGAAGAAAGTATTTAACTAGTAATGTAAGTGACTAATTACGGCAGCATTGACTGACCGGTGTCTTTCTGCCGAATAAGCAAGCATTATAATGAGTTGCTGAATTCTCCTACTCGGCTGCGGTTTCTGTATTTCCAAAGTCGTGAATTTAACAGTCGAAAAATGCCAAGCATTGCCGCTACTGAACGCAAACTAAAAGCAGAAGAGTTAGTAAAGTTAGTGAACAAATTATATTGGCGCTTGCATGAGTGTAATTAAGATAGATACCGTTATAGTTTTAGTGAATTTAAATTTGACATTTTGTAACTCGGCTGTAATTCGTATACATATAATCACAGTATCGCTTCTAACTACAAACATATATACATATATATATATATATATATATATATTTAAGTAAATAATAGATAACATAAAAAAGTAATGAAGGTTTGGTGTTAATAGTAATTGCTCGTACATACACGTGTACATATGTAAATTTGTAAAAAAATGGTCGCAGAAATTTACATAAAAAGCTACGTTAACCTAAAAAAGAAAAAAAAAGCTGATGTCGGTATAGTATTTTAACAACTTGCATTAAATATATACATACATACATATATTAAAAAAGTTCAATTTATTAAATATGAAATGCATATTGCTAAGCATAAATACACATACGTACATACATAGCTACACACATATATATATAGCTATATATGTATATGGTACGATTAACTATTAAATGTATATACATATATTTAGAGAGAATTTATATAATTACCTAACACATACTTACCTTGAAAATTATGACGTAATAACTGCATAAATACCTACATATACCTACAACATTTGTCGAAATTTATAAAGTTGGGTTGTTGGGCGGTCTTTTAAGCTTCGCAACTTCTGTGTTATATCAAGTAATATTTGCATAAAAACTGTTGCAATTTATACATACAAATACAAAAATATATAAACATATTTTGTGCAGATGTAGGCTAACACACACATATTTACATATACATACAAACATGCATATGCATGCCTTTTGCATATGTAGCTATTGTTGAAATTTGCAAAGATTTAAGCGAAAAGTAAGTATAAAATTGAGATTTTAGAACGAGCTAAACTGCTGAGCAATTCGTGCAACAAAAAACGTATATAATGAATATAGGAAATTCAGTGCCATGATAAAGTGTCAAGCAAGCGGTCTAACAAGTGGCGAGGGTAAATTTATGAAAAATTAAAAAAAAGAAACCAATTGTTGTAAACCCTCATTGCTTTGGAGACCGCATACTACACACAAACTTACAAAGTAAACCGTATAAAATTTGCTTCAAAACACTTTTGTTTCAATTGTTGGATCGGGTCTCGTTTTTGATTGCTTTCTTTACTTGTAGTACATAAATTTCACTTAAAAAGCGGGACGTTTTAAACGCTTTCAGCGCAATATAAAAAAGAAATAGCAATAAGCATACATAGATACATACATACAACTTGCCAAGTAGAATATTTTAAATTCTCAAAAGCGGAAATATTAAAAGTAAAAAGTAAAATGAAAAAAGAAGTATTTCAAAGCATTAAAAGCATTTTTCTGGCACTGATACGACAATCGCCTTGTCACCTACGCCTGCCATTTACGAACACAAAACGCAACCTATGCGCACAAAAAATAAACAAAAATATATTTAAAAAAAAATAATAATAATAATAAAAATAAGAAAAGTAAACATAAACGCTAATTATCACTTCCTTTCTGCTCGCTGCTGGCTAGCATTTGTCGTATCAGCGCTGAAGCACAAACCAAACAGCCAAATAAAAAGTCTAATTTGAGTGAAATATCTGTGAAAAAACTGCAAATTTTTGCAACAAGTCGCTTCCATACAAAATGTAAAAAAAAATACAACTATTGTTTTTTCTAACGTTCAATTAAGCAAGAAATTCAAATGTTTGACATACATACAAACAAACGTACGCACATATATTCCAACCCACTAAGTTGTCAATTCGCTCTACAATTATTGTGCAAACACACATATATTTTTATGCGCCTAACTCACACGCATACACACACACACACATGCATACTTATGCGTTGTGTATATGTATATTTTAATGCATTTTACAAGAACAAAAACACTCATTTAATTGTTAACATTTTACCAAGTATTATATTTAAAATTTTGATGTTTTGTGTGACATTTTTGTAAAACTAATATTTACCAACACTTTGGCAAAGCATTTGATATCTCTCCATACTTCTTATTGTATTATATTATATAAGTATTTACATACATACAGGCATACAGGCATGCGTGCAACTGTCTTATTACTGTGTATTAATTTTAGTTAATTCGTTTGAAATCGTTTAATGTATTCATTAACATATTCAGCGCTAGCGAAATCTTTACCATTTGCATTTAGATTTTAAATATTTAGCGAATTCTACAAAACCAACAACTGCTGCTGCTGCTGCTCGTATTTCAATTGTGCGCTACATACAAACATACATACATACATACAACATGTGTACATTCACAATGCCATCTGCGGTGCTAATTTGTGAAAGAAATAAAAACAAAAACAATTACAAATACTCTCACAGCCGCGCGCTTCATTAAATACGTTAAAAAAGAAAATAGTACAGCATGGCCAGAAATTAATGCAGCTGGTCAGCATGTGTAACGTTGTGTATTTTCCCACATTAAATATTCCAGATTTATTACAAATTAATAGCAAACAGAAAAACAAAAATGACCAAGTAATTAAATGAATTTAAAATTAATAAAAGCTACATGTTTTCTTTATTTTAAACAAATAATTAATTATTCGATTGAATAAAGTTGATATATTAAAAAATTACAATTACAAAAAATGTTTTATTGAAAAAAAAATCGTTTGAATTTATTTATAATTAATTATTTATATTATAAAGGCTAATCCATATCGAGGTTCGCTACTTTTTTGAAGAAAAAAACACAGAAATTTCAAATTTAAATTTATTAACATTCGAAAGCACATTCTTTGGCATTTATTTTTTGAAGTTTAACTCTTTCAAATGTTTGCCGCGGCAACGTCTCAGATGTTTATATTTATTTTTTATTAATATATAATAATATATACTTTTGATATGTCAATGTATATATATTTATATTTTTTAATATATTATAAAATGTAGTGTGTAAGACATCACGTCTGTTGCAGGTTAAGCGTTTATTTCCGATGCCAATTTACCGCAGTATCAGTTGCCATACAAATGGTTGGGCTATCAACTTTCTTTGCTAATGTCTTATCGTTCCATTTCCTCACATGGCAATAAGAAACATGAAGATAACAGTTTGCGAGCAGGAAATTGTTTATTACCGTTATTAAAGTGACATTGACAAACAGTTGATGGCACGTGGAATCAGTAATTGTCATGGTACGATTGCAAAATTTATATGCTGGCGTTGCAGCAGGGTCAATCCAATTGTGAAACCTTGTAAATAGCGTACTAGAACACATGTTTTGTGTTGCTCCTGGATTTTCACGACCTCAGTATAAGCAAGTTTGGTAAAGATGGGTTGACTGCATACAGCTTTTCATTTCAGTTGGGATATAAGTGCAGTCCGTGGTCAGATATAAAATTGGGGTGTTACGATTATGTAGAACTGAGGGTGTTTTGCTTGTGTCTTTTTTCTTGTTTTTTTTTTGCATGTATTACATTTAACCGAAGGGAAATTTGAATTTAGGCTTTTAGTGTATACGCAGCAGTAAACCACACGGGTTTAGAGGATATAGAGCAACTCTGCTGCTAAAAGTTACTTTAGTGATGACAATGTTAATTCCTTATTAACCGCTCACACAACAGTCGGCTCTTTTTCTTAGTTGCGGCTGTAATTTCGTATATCTAACCCGATTTGAAGTTGAATTTAAAGATTGTGTTGTCTATGACATTCAGGAATTAACTCAACAAGAGGATATGGGGTGACTTAACAGAAAGGATTCCAGTCTCTATGTATACTTGTTTAGAATTATTGCGGAATTATTGATTGTTGCACACCTTAACGAGATCGGACCAGACACGTAGTATACTAAACACCGACTTTTGGCTTTATATGTGGCGGGTAGGGTTTCTTTATCTAGAAAACAGTAAAGTGCTGGTAAACGCCTGCCGTCTAGGTTTTGGTTTATTATATTCCACAAATATATTACCGCTAATATCAACATATCTGTGGCTATTAATCCATATCTTGACTTAGGCTCTTTTCTAATGCTACCTTACGTTAGATATATATGAGAGAACATGTGTTGTTCAATATTTTTTGTGTTTGTTGCTTTGCCGACAGAAAACAGCTCTGAAGTAATATGCAGGTATGTTACCGAATTGACAGTCCTTAGCGGTATAAAAATGCGAGTCAATTTCGGAAAAGTAAAACCGGCTGTTGTGGGAATAGTTCAAATTTATATTGTTGTTGTTTTTGTTGTGACTCAAAAGTCAAAGTTTTCCTTTAAAATATCGCCTGTGAAACCCAAGAAATCTTTTTCGAAAACTAAATATCTACAAGAGTAATCATCGAGGCGATTATTACCACATAAAATATACAAATAATCCGAAAAGCGTTTTTTAATAAAACTAGTAATTTATTTTCGCAGATTTTGAAGTATTACAATCTTTAATTTTGATTAATTTATTTTCGAAAGTCTCGTTATAGTGTTTTTTTCGAAAATCCATTTTTACATCGTCTGTTTAACGGTATTGAAGTTTTTATTGCATTAACTTCTCTATTTTTCTATAAACTACTCGCACTCTTGTAATTTTAAGTTTACACAGCTACTAAATTACTGTTATCTTTATCAACTCACAGAATGCGGTCGAGCGCGAGTGCATTCGTAAATTATGGATTTGGAGTTCAAATAAATAAGTGTTTGTATGTATCTTATGTTGGTTTCGCTCTCTGGTAATGATTGAGTAAGTTTTACAGTTTCGCTTGGCAAATTCACATCCGCAGAATAGCGCGGCCGACCGTCTCTACGCTACATTTTTATGTTTTCCGTTAACTCATTGTTTGCTTTTCAAATTAAGTGCGTTTATTCATTAACTAATTAAGTTTGTTCTCTATGTACTTATTATTATGTATTTAGTAGAAAATATGTGTGTACGCTTTGTTTGCGTACGTTTTTGATTCCCTCAACGTTTGTCTTTGCGATTACGATTGCGATGATGTTGGTGTTGTTGTTGCTGTTGCGGCTGCTGTGCTTTATACGTCTTCTCTGGCGTGGTAACAGATGATTCTGTAATAGCAGAGAGAGAGAGAGAGAGAGATACGGGAGTGTAACAGTTCTTCAATTGTGATAGATAGTCAACTAATTATCTCCACTTGCAATGAGATATTTGAGCCTCTTCAGCGCATCGGCAAGCGCCACATGCTCTTATACAACGCCTTTAAAAACAAAAAATCTGTGATTATATACTATTGACTTGGCATCTCACTTACCTTTAGCCTCCTTTCTGTCGTCTTCTGCACTATCAGTGGCGTCTAGAGCTGATATGGCTGCGCTCAGTTCATGCTCTATTAAATCCTTGACATCCTTCTCAGCCGCTTGGTGTGCATTGAGCGGGTCTGTTTGGCCGCTACTCTCTGCTTTTTGAGACGCATCTACCTCCAACTCAACAGTGGCTTGTGCTTGTTGTCTATTCACTTCTACAACCACCTCCTCCTCCTCCTCTGCATCTTCTTGCTCTACTTCCACTAGCGCCTTTGTGACGCCATTCACCAGCAGAGACTCATCCTCACACGCTTCGGTAGCACTTGGTGTCACCTTAGCCCGTCGCTGTTGCAGCACTTGTGCGCATCTCTTCTCCCATTCGACGTGCTCTTTGTAATACTGATAGACGGGAATCACAATTACTGAAATATCATCGACTGTTGCGGCGGCTTTGCTGTCAGCCAAGCGCCAATGTCCTGAGTCGTTAATTTTGCCACGCGCTCGCGCCACTAGCTCCTGTGCCACCATTGTGTAACGGTGCTTTTCCGTGGGATATTTGTCGAGCGTTTGGAAAACGGTGCGTGCGACGGCGTCATTTTCGGAAACATCCCAAAGGCCGTCGGTGGCCATCACTAGTACACCGTAGTCGCCATCCTCATTATTTTCATCTACAAATTAAGAAACCAGTAACGTAAAAACTTTATAGTTGGATAGGTATTGCATGTTGGGCGCTCACCTGGAATGCTAACAATTTTGGAAAGGTCACGTACAACCACTTCCGGATGGGGTGTGAGAAATGGTTTGATTTGGGTGCCTGTGTTGATGGCTAAGAGATCGTGGTCGCCAAAACCGCGCGTTACGCCGAGTGTGCCCAGCAATCGGCTACGCTTGCCTTCGCCAGTAACCTGTCCAACACAATAAAAGAGGTTAGAAAATTGTAGAAACTTAAATAGCAAAAAGCACTCACAACAGGCATGCGCAAGTCGTCGCGCGTCAACGTTTTGTAGGTCCAACCTTTCATGGTACCTTGACGACAGAGTATGCGCTGGCCCAAATCTTTCATATGTGGCCGTTTGGCGTACTCCATGGCAGCGTACTGTTTTTCCATCAGATGTGGCTTCAAGCGCGCTACAGTGAGTAACCGTTGACGCTCTGTCTCTGGAGTGTGATCGAAAGAGAATGGCACCGCAAACACTTCTTGAGCGCCTGTGCCATTGTCAGCATTTGTCACTGCACCAGTTGTTGCGTTGTTTTTTTCAATGCACTCACTTTTGCGTTGGCTCAACACGGCACGACTGTCGCCAGCATTCGCTACAAACAATTTGCCGTTGATGAACAGTGCAACGCAAGCGGTGCAACCTCCTGCATCTCGATATCGATCGCGATCCTGTGCAATTAGCGCGTCCATGTTGAAGAAGGCGCTCTCCAGTGCACCGATGATGAGCTCATCCTTTGACACGCGTCGTTGGAAATGACTGGGATGGGGAAAGCTACTATCTTGGTTCGAATTAGCGGCGTCTTCGTCACGAGGAAGCAGCAATTCTAAGCAATCCACCAGTTTCTCGTGTAATATATGATGGAATTGATGGGAGGCAGCCAAAGCGGCACCATACCCAGCATGACCATCAAAAATACCATAGTATGTATATGGTAAGTCTGGGTGAGAGTGTGTGGGATCCGACAGTACTTGCCTATTTACATGAAACATAAACAATTAGCTCAAATAAAAATGAAAAATGGTTCAGCTTATCGCTTTTGCTGTTTTTTTTTTTTGTTTTTTTGTTGAACAAATCACAAACACTAGTGAAATTAGGCAAGCAAAATAAACTGATAAGCGTTGAGTCAGCACTGTTGAAGCAGAGAACTTAAAAAAACACTTGTTTTATGTTCTCTGGTTGAAGAGCTGAACAATTTTAGGTTGTAACAATAGACATGATTGCTTGATTTGCGTTGCCATATTTTTTGTTTGTTTTTTGCATGTAAAATATGAAATTGCACTTGCCTGGCAAACGCTGCCTGATCTTCGTTCCACTCTGATTTCCCGGAATTAACGCATTCGGCATATCCAGTGCCCCACGGCAGCAAACTAATATCACGGGGTACAATTATGGGGCGCACATTGTGATCAGCTGAGGCGCGCAGCTCGTCGATGGTCAAAAGTTGCAAAAATGGTGGCCGAGCATAGGCGAATTTGTCCGGTTTCTTCTGTTGATGCGCCATACGCAGCTGATAGTTTGATGGAGCGCCGCCGATGTTACCGCGATGTAGCTGATGGCTGTGTGTCGATGGCAGCGGCGGTATATCTGGTGCGATAACCGAAATAAATCGATTTTTAATATTGGTTATGCTAAACATGTTTGACATATTTGCGCGATTTTGGCAAGTGCGGCTGCAGGAAATTTATTCACGGAATGTTTACCGCACAACTTTAGCACGCTAACAGCTGCTAAATGATGTGTAAAATAACAACAAATATATGGCAGCTCGTTCTATGTTGCTCACCAGCAATATTGCTTTTGTTTACGGAGCACTTGCACACGTCAACGTAAATGAGTCTCCAAATTACTGCAAGAGATCGGGAGGCCGATAAAAAAATCCAACTAATTCCTTTGTTGCCTGCTTATACCAACAATGTAACTTGATGTGTATAATACCCTTCTTCCGTCGCACACCCGTTTCCTTGGTATCTCAATGCGTGTTTTTGTTCTCGCCACCTTTTACATTGCTCGTGACTTTGCCACTGTATTGTATTGTCCACTTTTCGCTTTGCACCAGCCAGCTAACCACTGCCAATGCTACCGCTGCCACCACGTCCGTGTTTGTTTTTTCGTCAGCACTCGCACAAATCAATAAAGCACTGTAGATTTCCAAACCAGTTTTGCATTAAAAGACACAACAGTTACGAATCGATTGTAGAGTTTTATAAATGTAAACGTTGAAAAGAAATTTATTGTAAAAATTAGTGTTTTCTTCCTGGTTCACTTGCTTTTTCTGCTTGTGCGATTTTTCACTTCTCTGAATATTTCGTGCTTTTAACTTTTTTATTTTTCGTAGACAATGGGAAACGTCAAACTGCAATCGCTAAATGAAATGTCAAATGTAGAGCTTTATCGCCAAACTTCTAAAAGCTTCGCAAAAATGCTATTATAGCAAAAGCTGCATTCGTTTTGAACTGGGAATTTGGTTCTGCACTTAAATAATTTTTCTAAAAATTCATATATATTTTCTATTATTTTATTTGATACATATAAACATGACACTCCAATCAAAGTTAATAAAATGGTTAATGTTAGATATCGATTATTATCGACAACAGCGGAAGTCAAATTCTTAAATATAAGCAAATAAAACAGGTCGTTAATAGCTTTATATGATTTGCACAGATAATTTACTAATCAGCAAATTGGTATTTTTTTAATGTTTGGGGTATATTAAAATTTTAAATGAAATATTTTTTGAGTTACAGCTTTCTTCTTCCTAGTCAACATAGTCTTATTGTCTTTCTTTATCTTTAAACGCTTTTTGCTCAAACTACATTTTTCAATTGGCTTAATAATAATATATGCATGTATATATGTATGTATATTTTTAAAAATATTTTGTGTATATTCATTAATATTGTAAAAATACTTATATCGTAAAGATTTTTGAAACATTTGTGCAGTAGTTGCCAAAAATTTAATATTTTTGGCAGTTACACTAGTAAATTTTCTTTGTTTTAAATGAAAAAAGATTATTAAATATTGAATTTATTTTTAAAAATTGTTTATAACATTTCTTATATATTTTATTTGTTTGTGTGTTTCAGAAATGAAAGTACAGATTTGCGAGATGTTATTATTAATTCCAAAACCGGCGGAGTTGCATTGGATCAAGAAAAGGTGGACCAATATATTAAAGCTATGTCCCTAACTGGTAGTGAAAAGGTAAATGGGATATTTTTTATACCATAACAAATTTGTTTTTAGAATAATAAAAATAACAAAAAAAAAAATTAAATGTTAGGAAAACGCCGAAAAATTGGCAGCCATGTGGATGTATGCAGCACAGATGGGCAGCTCACGTAACTTGACACAAACGGGCGGTAATCGTCCGATCATGTTGATCCCGGCTGGTAGCACGACCGTAAGCTAATATTAAGCTACATTTTTTAAGTTCTGAATTTGCTTTAGCAATTGTGTTACATTTACGCGAGTTATAAAATCTAACTTTTATTTCTATTTTCCAGATGTTGGCCACACCCCCACCTGTGCCACCAATGCCGGGTGCCATGGTTGTACCTGGCATTCCTTATCGCCCGCCCATGGCCTACACGCTGCCTTACATGCGTCCAGGCTCAGTGGTTTACGCACCCACAGGCTCTGCACCCAGTGGTACATATCGTACACAAAAGAGCAGCAAATCTGCAGGACCACCAAACCGACGCCGACGCCCAGGTCCACCACCATTACGTTCGGGTAAAATGGATGCCAACCGTCGTCAGCGACGCAAGTCTGAAGCGGATGTCATCGATAATGAAGCTTTTCAGTATACAGGGCTTGATCGCGACATAGCAGACAATTTCCTGGCGCGCCAAGAGCAGACCAACAGCCAGCCAGGTAGTCACGTGGACTACTCGTCTTCGTCGACGACGGCCAGCGAAACATATGGCAAGCAGCGTTCGCGCTCATCGTCCAAAACGAAAATTGTTTGCCGCGATGTGGTGATGTAGTCGTGTGGCAAGTTGAGCTGGTGAAGAATTGAGCGGTGTGTTTTTTGGAGTCGAGTCAAGTCATTCTGGCGGATTGTACTGCATTGATCCGGGGAACCGTTAAATGAACAACAATACATACTTAACTATATAACTGTATTATATGTATGTCTTATTTCATATTTGCTATTGTAAATAACTTTATATTATAAACTTATTATTTAGTTTATTCGACGATGTAGCTATGCGCGCAGGCAAGTCGCACATTTTGTATGTTATACAATAAATGTAGGTTTCAAATATTGATATAAAAATAAATGTATGCATGTATACCTATTAGAAAAACATCAAGAAGTCGTCTGTAAAATCTCCAGACTATTGATCCCTAAAAATGTATCGCTGCAGACTGCACGCCGACATTTGCAACACTCTAGAAGTCTTCATCACTGTGGTGTTCGGGCTTGCTTGCCGTCTTTGGACGCATTGGTAGCTCTCCAGTGATCTTCGAGATGCTTATATCGTCCATCGAATTGAGATCAACTAAAAATTATAACAATTATATACATACATATATCCCTTGAGAATTGTTTTCTACATTTCACTCACAATCATCGTCGACAAAGCCGCCCAATTCGGCGTTCAGGTTGCTCAAAAGACCGCTTGTAGGCGGTCCGCGGCCCATGTTGAGTAGACCACCCATGCCCAACTCACTATCTGAACTTCCGAAAGAGCTCTCATCATCGTCATCTTCACCACCCAAAGTGGCACGATTGCTCAGCGTGCTCCCCATTGGACCGACGTCAGCCATGCTTACATCATCAGCTGTGGCGCGATCACCGTGTGTGATGCCTGTCGGTCGGCGCGCACGTCCTGTTATCGGACGACCATTTCGGGAAGTCGCCGTCCCTGGTCGCTTACTCATGCGTCGCGTCGTCTCATCCATAAACTCGTTATAAGATTTTCTATTGCGCAACATCATATCCTCATCTCGGATGTCCGGAATCTCAGCATCAAGTCCAAAATTGCCGCGGCGCAGTACACCGCTGCCATCAAGTTCCTCTTCGCCATTATTATCATCATCGTCCTCTATCAGACCCTCTGGTATAAAGGGCATAGATGATTCTTGCGGCTTTTGCAATAGCGGCGAGGCCACAGGGGTGCTACGCTTGGTGCGTGCCTCGTACTGTGCACGCAGGGCATCGCGCACGTGCAGACGCAGAAAATATTTTTGGAACAATGCCTGCAGTTCCTTCTCACAATCTTCGAACTCCTGCATGTGTGCAGGTCGTATTTTCTGCAATGCTTCTAAGCGCTGTTTAGTGCGTTCCATCTCGGCGCGTTTGCGCTGCAGCTTCGAAGATAGCGCGTTCATTTCGACGCGTGCATTCTCCAACTGTGCACGACTGGACTGCAGTTTCAGCTGTGCGGCTGCAATGGCATTCTTCAGCGTACGCTCAGCTGAAGACAATTCCATCGGACGATTGGCCTGCGCCAAGCGCGCTTCTCTATGCAGCATCTCTTTGGCGAGCAGCTCGTGTAGCGCTGCACCGCGTTGCGTTAAGTCTGCAGAGAGTTCGCGTGCGCGTCGCAGATCATCCATTTTATCGCCGATGTCAACCTGATTGAGACTGCGGTAGTTCTCCTCTTCATCCTTGTCTTCAGCCGACTGTCGTGGGGCTATCAACATACGCGTGATCTTCTGCAGCTCTGCCGCAGTAACTGCGGAGGAGGCATATAGTTTGCGCGGATTCAACTTGATGGCTGACTTGGTTACGAAAAACTCCGTGGCAGAGCGTATGAGTAGCACGCGGTCGTTCTCGGTGTCTACGCTGCCAGCTAGCACAGCACCGGGATCAAGCAGACTCGCGAGCCATTGCAATACCTCGGCGACGACGTGAAATGAGGCGAGGCTTCCGAAATTGTTGGCGATTGCCTGCAGGGGGAACACATGAGGATAGCCAAGTAGCTTGAGGTGCTCAGCGAGATCTGTGTGTATAAGTAAGTCGGAGAAAATCTAAGACTTATATCTGATATTTTACTTACCGCGCACATCCTTGAACGACATTGTATTTATTTTAAATCAGTGGTGGATATTTCGGACTTTATTTCTAATTAAGTTCGCAAGTTTTCGCCTGCACAAATTTCTTCAACCATTTACTTCGGAGCTCTTACTGATTTGTTGTGGCTTGAAAAATTGTTGTTTACAACACATCCTTTGCACGCGTTGCTAGGATACACTTGGTAGCATGGTAGCGCTAGCTTAAAATGCAACAGGTTGCAAAAAGCCAAAAATTTAACCCTAAAACACATAAAAGAGAATTTTTCATTTTCGTGGAAAGAGTAGTAGCTTTTTTTATGCTATTTCATTCGTCTAGTTTAAGGTTTCTTATATAGCCGAGTTCACCTCCGATTAACCTTGCACTAATAAAATTTGATACTACCAACTCAAGTAGGGGATTTTGTAATAAGGAACATTTCACATAACCGAAAAGTCCCGGAGGCTCTTCGCTAGCAATATGTTGTTTTCTCGCAAGGACCCAACCGGTTTTGTTTGGCTTCAGCAATAGTAAACGAAGAGTACTGATTTCAATGTTTCGGCAACATGTTGTCAACAACAAAATGTTGCGCAACATTGACAGAGACTGTTGTGAGAAAAGCGGCATGTATGTACACCTCTCCACCTTAAAAGTCGCTGCGTGCGCTCTCCGTTGTTTTAAAACTTTGCCATCGCCCACCTTCTGCACACTATTGCCCCCTCAATGTTGTGTTTTGTTCGCTTGCCAACATGTTGCGGTCGTCAACGAACCATTGGAGCGCAGCCAGCGCCAGCGATATGGTTGAATGGAGCTCATTGCCCCCACCAAGGGTCTCGAATTCGAAATCGACAAGTGTGTAAGTGTCATACAGTTATGCACCCATACACACACACGTATAAGTCGACGGCGCGTTACGTTTTATTTTCTTTAGAGCGACAGCGTCGTGTATTAAAAAAAAAATCAGTAGTAATTGATGCGGTGCGTGTGATTATTGTAAATATGAGCTATGTAAGTATGTAATATACATATGTGCCGATGTACATAAGTGAATATGTAATTACGTATGAATTACAAGTCGGCTGGTGAGTAAAATAGTTAAAAAATAAAATTAAAAAATGAATAAACTAAGTTAAGTAAATTAAATTGAAATAAATCGCATGAAATAAAAATATTTCAAACTTCAATTAGTTTGAATTAAATTTAATAAATTATTGTAGTAAAAACATAAACTGAACAAATTTTAATAACAAATAAAAAGAAATTAAAGTAGGCAAGCTAAAAAAATATTATTCACTTAATTGGCAACTCTGGCTGCAATTGCAGCCGCATTGGAGTTGTCGTTGTTGTTGTTCCATTTTATTATCGCAACCACAAGTTTTTGCTCATTGCATTGCATTTTCATGCGCTTTCATTTTTTTACTCCATTTTCTTAATAGATTTTGCTTTTGTAGCCATTTGTGCACACACTCACACATACGCAAGCACACACAGTTGTGTACTGTAAATGCAGCCAAGCTATTGTGGCATGCAGTTAGCAGCACAGCCACTGCAGCCATGCTTTGTTGCCAACTGCATCGCGGGGAATTCGTTTATTTTTATTTTTGTTGTTGTGGTTCGTGTTGCTTTTACAGCGCTGCGTGGCGTTTGTCAATTTGTTAGCGAATGCATTGTTGCACGGCGCAAGCCGCCGCCCCAAGAACTGGCGCTCAACAGCGGCGCAACAGCTGCGAACATCGCCTGCAGTTTATGCAACTGGATTATGTTGTAACTTGTGTCTCATATTTTGCATTCGCCGGATTTTCAGCTCTCTGCGCGGCAATAAAGCGGATATGTGCGCATGTATTTGTGTAGATAAATATGTTTGTTTGTGTTGTATTTGATTTTGTTTTGAGTTTTATTTATTTAACATTTTTATGGGGCACGTGCTTGCAGTTGTTGCTGCTCCATTTATCGCTCAATGTCAATGGAAATACAAAAACAAAACAAACAACAAGTGTATTGATTTCAGCAATTCTGTCATTCTGCCACATTTATTTATGTCCTTTTGTGGCATTGAAAAGTTGTTGGTGCTTTTGGCTGGTGTGAGATATTGCTCTTTAGACTATTATAATAAAACCGTTATAGTATAAATTTCTTATGTTTCAAACTATTTATTTCAAAACAAATTTTTTTTCTAATTCCGCCGTTTGAGCATAATTAGCGTTTTATAGGTGCATGTGTTAGAAATAACTTCTTTCCACCAGTAAGGCGGTTTTAAGGTTTTCGCCAATTAAGCAGCAACGCTCGCGGAGCTCGAAGACAAAATTCAGCGCACTATAGCCGAAATTCCAGCCAAAATGCTGCGCTGGGTCATCGAAAATTGGCGTAAACGAGTGGAGATATGTCAACGGAGTCGTGGTGGCCAACATTTTGTTTACACCATAAATGGCATGAAATTATCTGCATAACAATAAAAAAAACAACTATTTTGACCAAATTTGAGTGTTTTATTTCATTTTAACATCACGTCGTTCTAGTTGGTAGACCTTTATTTGAGCTTCAAAGCCAAAGGACTTGCTGCCTTTTCATTTCTTGCTATGAAAAACTCTTTTATATCCTTTAAGGGTAACGATAATTATGCTTCCTGGTTGAACTGCATGGAAATGTACCTAGTAAATTTCGGTTACACATTAAAAAGCAGACATTTAAGGAACCTTAGGTCTTTGTAAATGCAAAAGCATTTATTTATTTTGTGTCTATGTTTATTTCAATCAACTCCAACACAATGTTTTCCTTTGTGAAACTACAAATAAAAGTTTATATAGACCGAGGCAACTAGGCATTTTTCCACTGTCATAATTCAAAAGCGCTGCTTCATAGAATATAAACGCGTACGTAGGAATACGGATATGGTTCAGTACAATTAATTCTAAGCACATAGTGCAGCAAAGGGGATACTCAAGCAAGCACAGCACATAAGTTCAAAGTTAATCATCGCCCACATTATTTTTTATATTTGAATCGAAATAACGGTTGTAACTTGCACACCCATTACCAATTTATTTTACGCCACACTGTGTATGCAACCTTATAACTCTTTTATCGCATGCAAACATTTGTGGTAAGCCGATATTAAACCCCGTCTTTTCGTTATCTAAAATTTAGTTTCGATAACATTTGACAATTACTCGTCACACTTTATAAAAGATAATTTATATATAAATATACTATGGATGTAAGGGATAACCTTAAAAAATATGCAAGAAACTGATTCGCCAATAATAACTAATTTTGTCTTTGAATGACTTTTTTTCTGCGACAAAGTAGAAATTATCGAATCGCTTCTCAACGAAATGAAGCGTCAATTGATCTAAATTTTGGCCACTATAAATATATTACTCTATAAATAAACTTAATATCTCTGTATTTCGAGAATGTGTCTCTGTAATACGAATGAAATTTCTATAATATAAGAAGAAGAAGTATAGCGTTTTCACTTCCATGGAATCATCTCTAATTCAAGTCACTCTAGGTAAGTTTAGGTTAAGAGGTCGACCCCAGCAGGGATCTCCATAGGACAGCTTAAAAAGCCGGTCCGTTGTGGTACCTAAGAACTCCTATATACTGGATCATAAGACCCCTACAAGTCCACAAAGCGCTTTGAGCCTATCACAAATTTGTTAATACGGCTAACGTCAGTTTCGGCTATGTCTTCTGGTTTACCGAAGGTAAGACTACCGAAATGTCTCAGCCTCAGTCGTGCAAAGGCTGGACAATGAAGGATAAAGAATGTATCCACCTCACCCTCCTGCATACAACTTCGATAACTCGCGTCCGTCAAGATGTTTAGCCTTGCCGCAGTAAGAACTCCTACGATTGCAGCAAGATGAACGTTGCTCAGGGCAAGTAGTTCAGTGAATCTCCTACGTTCTACTCGGGGCCAAAAGGATCTCGCAGTCACAAATGAGCTGGCCATTGAATCATCGGTCCCATTCCGATGTGAGTGGAGGTAGAGTGCCCCCTCTGGCTGGTTCATCGGCTTTGCAGTTGCCCAGTTGCCAGCGATTCCGCTTTGACCAGGTACCCAAACGAGTGTGATGATGAAGTAGCTTGATGCTATTTCTAGTGGGACAAGCACTCTATGACTAGCTTTGAGCGCACAGTTAGCGAGCTCAGAGCTCAAGTCACTCTTGTCTTTATAGATTTTGCGAGCATAACGTTGACGTTTTCATTACATTTGTATACTCCCGTTATTCATATTGCACACTACCACCTCCTTGCTTTAGTAATCACATACTTCAATCTTGTTATTGTTATTGTTATATCCTGGTTGTTGCATGCAATTGTGGCACAGCTGGATCCAACTGAATAAACACCGAGGGTGGAGTTGTTTTGCTGAGTTTGAGAACGCTGTTCTTAGTTCCTTGTGTGTTTACTTTCTGCTCGCGCTAACTTGAGGTATTATTACACAACTACATATGCAACTTTTAGTAATATATAACGATGAAATGCGTCTCAACTATCAAAATGTATTTGCATAACTTTAATTGTGCACATTTCACGCAAGTGTACAGTTGCTGTGGAGCAATGCGATTGCTTTGTGTTCGTAACGACGTGACTTCGGTTATCACACTAACTTCTCTTATCGAATCTCCCCCAAGTAGAAAGTTTCTGACAGAATTTTTCGCTATGTAATGCCAAATCTTAATGAGCTTGACTTGCTACACATATTACTCTCTCTAGCAATATGCTGAAAAGGCTTAAGTTGACTAGTATTTGTGTAGATAATATGAGTTCTTTTGACCAACTCTTTCGAGACCCGACATTCGACAATGCCTTAGCACTAGAAGCTTCAGAAACTATATTTAATATATATATAAAAGATATGCTGATCATATTCGTCGAATATTTAGGTGTCACATACGCCTCGTCATCCACTAAAATACTGTATATCGGAATTATATCTGCTTCGGTGTGTTAGTTGTGGTTGTTGTAGCGGCAGAAAACATTCCAGTAGTAATTTCGAGGAATGGTGCCGAGTTGACAGTCCTTAGTCGGATAAAAATACGGGTCCGTTCCGATTACTTCGACCCGACTGTCATAGGAACGGTCGGTGTGTTATTGTTAACCTTTGATATGATTTTAGCTTCTATCATTCTTAAATGGCGCTATTTGCATCAAGAGTTATATTTTCATCTTTAACCGTAATAGCGAAATATTATTACAGTAATTAAATGTATTCTAAAGTGTCCAACTTGAGTTTATTGCGTGCTGCTGAGTCAAAAGCAGAACATATTTATCGCTTTTAATAAGTGC